CGATGAAGGACAGAGGGAAGATTCTGAAGGACCTCGAGGCTATTCGTGATATCAAATTCGAGCGGCTGGCTCTGCCCGAGGAGATGAAGATTTCGGCCGTGATTGCGGATGACGATGAAAAAACCTGTGACAGCCGTCTGATGGACTCTGTCTTTTCCAAATCCGCTGCGGACATGACCGGGGCCGGTCCGAGCCACCCTCCCGACCGTCAAGGTGAAGGAACGGGCGAGAATGATGAGGACGCTGGGAACGAACAACCACCCCCCGTTTGATCTTCGATCACTTTCCAGTTGCCATTTCCGTTCTCCTTTTCTTTTTTAAGTATGTTTGCGTATGTTGCTTGCTTTTTCGAACAACTTATTTTAATTTGCATTTCCGAATGTTGGTGTGTTCCGAGCCCGGGGATGGTTTATTCCCTGTAGGGTTCGGATATTTTTGTGGTTTCCCTATGTATGGAAAATAAACTAAGTGTGGTATTTTATGTTTTCGTCGCTTTGTATCTTCGTGCCGCCTCAATCTTGATCGGACAACTTTAAGTGATCCGATACCGGGCGACCTTAAGTGGTCCGGCTGTTTCCCTACTTGGGGTCGTTTTGATTTTTGATCGGACGACCTTAAGTGATCCGATACCGGGCAACCTTAAGTGGTCCGGTTGTTACCCTACTTGGGATCGTTTTGATTTTTGATCGGACGACCTTAAGTGATCCGATACCGGGCAACCTTAAGTGGTCCGGTTGTTACCCTACTTGGGGTCGTTTGATTTTTGATCGGACGACCTTAAGTGATCCGATACCGGGCAACCTTAAGTGGTCCGGTTGTTACCCTAGTTGCGGTCGTTTGATTTTTGATCGGACGACCTTAAGTGATCCGATACCGGGCAACCTTGAGTGGTCCGGTTGTTACCCTACTTAGGGTCGTTTTGATTTTTGATCGGACGAGAACACTTTTTATTGATAATACTTCTTCAAATACATGGCATTCCAGGGATGCATCAGCGGGGTTCCGTCTAGGTACTTCAATCGGTAGACCCCATTCTTAAGTACGACGTCGACTTGATACGGTCCTTCCCATTTTGGTTTTAGGGGACCCGGATTCGGTCCCGTCACTCTCTTCAAAACTAGTTCTCCCGCTTGATAGAAACGAGAATTGACTCTTGCGTTGAAGTGTCTCTCGGTCACCCGTTTGTATGCTGCGTTCTTTAATTCGGCTTGCGTCCGAGCTTCTTCTATTAAATCCAAACCCGTTCGCAGTCCTTCGCTATTCGCTCCCTCTTCGAAATTCTTTACTCGATAAGTTTCAGAACCGATTTCGACCGGGACCATTGCCTCTGCCCCATATGCTAACGAGAACGGCGTTTCTCCCGTCGCTGATCTTGGTGTGGTCCGATATGACCACAAGACGTTCGGGAGCTCCTCCGACCAGGCCCCTTTCTAGCTTTCGAGTCGTACCTTCAAACCTTGTTTAATAATTTTGTTGACCGCCTCTACTTGTCCATTTGACTGTGGATGGTAAGGGGTAGAGAAATGATGTCGAATCCCCAGCTCTTCACAAAACGTGCTGAATTTCTTTCCCTCGAACTGCCGTCCGTTATCAGTCACCACAGAATGAGGAATACCAAATCGGCAAACGATTGATTTCCACATAAAGTCGACCATCTTCTGCTCGGTTATCGTGGCCAAAGGTTCTGCCTCCGCCCATTTAGTAAAGTAGTCGACCGCTACGACCGCGTATCTGACTCCTCCCTTGCCTGTAGGTAAAGGTCCGATCAAGTCGATTCCCCACTTGGCAAATGGCCAGGGGCTGAAAACCGAGGTAAGCGGATGAGCCGGCTGCTTTAAGTTAGGGGCGAACGTTTGGCACTTAACACACCTCCTGACTAGATTGAACGTGTCCCTTTTCAGCGTGGGCCAGTAATACCCCTGCCGTAATATTTTGTGCGCTAACGCTCGTCCCCCCGAATGGTTTCCGCATACGCCCTCGTGGACTTCTCTCATGACTCGTTCGGCTTCTTCGTCGTCTACACATTTGAGCAATGGATTCGAATAGCCCCTCTTATACAACGTTCCTGCCATGATCGTGTATCTTGCTGCTCGGATCCTTAATGACCGAGCATCCTTGAGGTCTGCGGGGAGCTCTCCCTTCTCCAAATACGATCGAATTGGGTCCATCCATCCGGATGTCGTGACACCGACCGATTCTTCAATCCTCATGATATGATCGACCTGAACAGCCGGCCTCTCCTGATGGCGAGTGTAGACGTATTCGATTTTGTCAGTTCCTCTGCTGGATGCCAACCGTGCGAGTGCGTCCGTCTGGGCATTCTCCGACCGGGGAACGTGTGCGAGTTGAATGTTTGCTCGCGCTATCTTCTTTCGAGCTAGGTGTAAATATGGCACCAGGCGGGCTTCCTTGTCTCGAACTCCCCTGAGATTTGCTTTACTAACAACATTAAGTCGGAGTATGCTCTTAAATTCGTGATGTTCATCGAGTGGGCTAAGTTCAGGCCGGATAATAGTGCCTCATATTCTGACTCGTTATTGGTCGCGGCAAACAAGTATCGGACCGAATGGCAATATAGCTTTCTTTGGGGGCTGACGATCACGACTCCTCCCCTAGATCCTTCGGTTGTGGTCGATCCGTCTATATACATCTCCCAAGTTTCTGTAGTTTGGACTGGTTCGGCTCCTGTTGTGAACTCAGCTATGAAGTCGGACAGTGCTTGTCCCTTTATCGCCGTCTGTGGTTTATATTGGAGATCGAACTGCCCAAGCTCTACGGCCCACTTGATCATTCGTCCCGACGTATCAGGCTTGTGCAGAATTTGTCGGATAGGATAGGCTGACAAGACGGTCACCCGGTGTTCAAGGAAATACGGCCTGAGTTTCCTCGAAGCTGTCACTAGGGCGAAGATTAATTTCTCGATCTGTGGGTAACGGACCTCAGCTTCATGCAATGCCTTGCTTGTGTAATAGATCGGATGTTGATTCAGATTCTCCTCCCGAACGAGTACGGCGCTTATCGCGGTCGGGGTAACTCCGAGATATAGATAGAGCATCTCTCCCGGGTTTGGCTTTTGGAGGACCGGGGGCCGAACGAGGGACTCCTTGATGTTTTCCAGTGCGTTTTGGCATTCGTCCGTCCACTTGAATTTTTTATTCTTTTTAATAGCCTCGAAGAAGGGCTTACATTTGTCCGTGGACTTTGATATGAATCGGCTTAAAGCCGCTAATCTACCCGTTAGACTTTGTGTTTCTCTTATCGACCTAGGGGGTTTTAGTTCGAGTATTGCTTTAATCTTGTCGGGGTTTGCTTCGATTCCCCTTTGACTAACTATGTATTCCAAAAACTTACCCAAACCTACCCCGAATGTACATTTTTTGGGATTTAACACCATGGAGTAATCACGCAAAATAGATAACATTTCATTAAGGTGTGACACATGATCGTTCGCAAAAACAGATTTAACAAGCATATCATCCACGTAAACTTCCATAGTTCGTCCGATTTGATTTGCAAACATCTTATTCACGAGCCTCTGATAGGTTGCTCCGGCATTCTTGAGACCGAATGACATCATTGTGTAGCAGTAGAGTCCTCTGGCCGAATAGAATGATGTGCGTTCTTCATCGTTCGGGTCCATCGGGATCTGGTGATATCCCGAATAGGCGTCCATGAAGCTCATGAGTTCGTGTCCGGACGTCGCATCAACCATGTAGTCGATGCTGGGCAATGGATAACTGTCTTTGGGGCAGGCCCGATTGAGATCGCTGAAGTCGACGCATAGTCGCCACGTTATACTGCTCTTCTTTACCAGGACCGGATTGGACACCCAAACCGGGTACTTGGCTTCGCGAACGAACCTGTTGTCAATCAGTTTTATTACTTCCTCCTCCTGCGCTCCTTGCCGCTCGGGTCCCAACTTCCTTCTTTTCTGCACGATTGGCTTTACCGTTCGGTCAACCCGAAGGCTATGGCATGCTAAGTTTGGATCGATCCCCACCATATCTTCATGCGTCCAGGCGAAGACATCTGCGTTTTTTATTAGAAAAGAAATTAACCTGGACCGGATGCGTTCGCCCATGTTGCGTCCGACGCGCAGTGACTTGGTGCAGGCTGGTTCATCGATGTAGATTATTTCCGTGTCTTCGCTTGGTTCGGCCCGTTCGGGTTTCTTTCCTTTGAATTGATCTCGGGGGTCCTGTTCGTCTTTTTCTTCGACCGGTTCCTTCCCTGGTCGGCGTCCCCGGTCTATCGTTCGATCTTCCTCTTTGCCCGGATCGTTCTCCTCTTGGGTGGATCGATCGATCTCCAATTCTTTTTCGCTCTGTCCGTCTCTCGGGAGTGAAAGTGTGTCTGCACTTGATGACGTCGGCATAAGGTACTCGTCTTCCTCTTCTGGGCTCTCGACCGGTTCTTCTCTCATCCTCTTTCGTCCGTTCGTAGATCCTTTGGCCGTACGGTTGTCTGGCTGTTCGGACGAAACTTCCTGCTCATCTGGCTGCTTGAGCTCTGCAACTGGTTCGTCGATCGGTTTCTCTTCCTCGTTCGCCATCATGACCGAGTGTATATCTAATGACGGGATCGCCATGATGCACTCCCTTGCCTCCCTTTGGTTACCGTAGTGGACTCCAGTGCCATTCTCAGTTGGGAATTTGATCGAATAGTGGACGATTGATACGGCCGCCTTCAGCTTGTATAAGGCCGTTCGTCCGAGGATGGCGTTGAACTCGCTGGCCGTTTTCACCACTTTGAAGGTTTCCATGATCCTGCGTCCGTTTGCACCCGATTCCCCGAGCTCTATTGGTAATGTGATTTCTCCTTCGGGGATGGTTGCTTGTCCGTTGAATCCAGTTATGCGGTCGTTGCATGGGCGCAGTTCGCTTTGGTCTATCCCCATTTTAAGGAATGTGGTCCAGTATAAGATACTTGAGTACGCCCCGGTGTCCACCATGATTCGATGGACTGGGATTCGGAAAATGGGGGCTGTGATTACGAGCGCATCCGAGTGTGGATTGTCGAACGGGAGAGAATCCTCATCCGAAAACATTATTAGATTTGTGGGCATGGGGATGTGTCGGTTGACCTCCGCTCGGCTGACTTGATGCCCTGTGCTGTATGCTTTCCGGACGTACGCCTTGACCTGTCTTCTTGACACGCTTGAACTTTCCCGGCTCGTATTGACCCTTGTGGGCGGTCCACTTCTTCGGATTGGGATGTGAACCAAATACTCCTCGTCTCGTCTGGACGTTGTCCTTTTCCTTCCCCCGGATACGCTCGTCTCGCCTCGTTGCTCCTGACTGATCGTCAAGATTTCATTGTGGTGTTCGTTCGCTCTCTGGGGATTCGGTCCGAAATCAGGCTCGTCTCCTAGGTTCATTCGTTCATCGTTTCTTGGCCTTCGGTTGCCTGCATCCATCCTAGTGAACCTTCTTACCTGCGGATCATCAATTAGTTTTAACAAAGCAGATATTAAGTTCCGACACTGGTCGGTATTGTGGCCATGCGCTTTGTGGTAAGCACAATATCGGCTCTTGTCTAGATTTTCTTCATCGGCCCCGATCGGTTTGGGATCTGGGGTGACCCCTTGTTCTTCAACTCTTCGTACACCATGGCCGCGCCGGCCGAATACACCCCCTGGTAGCTGTTCGTGAGTTCCTCGTGATGTTTCCTCTGCATGGCCCGGTATTGGGAGCTTCTTCCGTCCTTCACAAACTCCTTGCTCGGTCGGGACTCCTTTGCTTTTGTGGTTTGCTCGTTCAAGGCTGGGAACAACGGGACGGACATGTTTTCTTCTGCCATGATATGTTGTTGAGCATTCATCAAGAATTCATGATACGTCTGAGGTTTATTTTGGCAGAGGGTCCATTTGAACATCGAGTTTAGTCTCAGTCCCGAATATGCCGAAACGAGCAGGGTCTCCTGATGGCACGGTTCCATGTTTTGTACCCGTTCATTGAAACGAGTGATGTAATTCTTCAGGCTCTCGTCTGCTTCCTGGATGATGTGAGTGATCGATTCTTTGGGAATTCAGCACGCCTGGGATCTGATGAAATGGGCTCGAAACATGGATTTTAATTGCGTCCATTTGGCGACCGAATGCGGGGTGAGCGAATGGTACCATCTTTGTGCTTTTTCTCCCCGGGTTAATGAGAACATCCGGCAGCTGAGGGCGTCCGGTGCTCCGTGCAGGTCCATCCATGACGTGTATAATCCCAGGTGGGTGTCCGGGTCAGATGTTCCGTCATAAAATCCGATCTGCAGGATCTTGATCTTCTCGGGCAGCTGTTCCTGCAAAATATCAAATGTTAGGGGTGATTCGGGCTCGGCGGGACTGGATTCCGTTCGTGCCCTTGAAGCTGTCGGGGCTCGTTTGAGAGGGACTTCCGTCAAATCCTGTCCGGTGGAGGCCAGTCGTTTTTGGGCCGATCGTCGAGCTTCGAGTTCGGCAATTCTTCTTTGGAGACTCTTTATCTCGTCTTCTTCTACTTGTGTCGTTCGTCTTCTGGTCAATGTTCTCCTTAAGTCGTCATCGGCCACGTTTTTTCCCAGCCGTCTGAAAACCGACCGGGTGGTGTTTCAGGTTCGAGTATCCGTGACCGAGCGACTTTCGTCCGTCTACTCGTTTTTCGTCCGGGTGGTGGATTTTTCCTTCGTGCTCCCAGGCGACCAGGTGGTTTCTTCGCGAACATTTGTTCCCTTGCCTTTGAGGGAGTTGGTAAGGTCTTTTTTGGCTGGGGTTTTAGGTGCTTGAGACGTAGAGGGCTGGATCTGTGTTATTAGGTTTGATATCCCCTTAACGAAGTTTGGGTCTTTGAAAAAGGCTGAATAGTCCGTCCTCGTGGTTGGGTTGTTTCGCCGATCCTCCCCTTCTTCCGGTGGGTCTTGCCGGCGACTCTGGCTTGATGATGATGTAGTTGTCTTTGACATGCTGGAATAGCCCTTCCTCTAGCGCCAATTGTTGATGTCTAAAAATGACCAACAATGTGTTCGAACTGTACACTAGGATGTGTACTCTGTTCGGTCTGCACGAATAGAGTTTGTGTATGTGATCCGATTTTATTCTGATGGTCCGAATGCTCAGTCTATCCGTGACTTATTAGGTAATTAATGAGATTTTTTACTCATTGCATTAAATGATGTCCTCCCCTCCCTTTTATAGGAAGTTTTTGGGACTTTACATTTCCCTCTTGGGGATTTTTACATTTCCTTTTGAAGGATATTTTTAGATATTAGTCATTCCGTATTTAGTGCTAATTGTACTTGGTAATCTTTTCCCAATTTCTGAGAGTCGTCCGGATCGTGCCACGTCCCTATTTTTCCTTTGCCGTCGGATAAGAGATTTTCCTGTATCTCCGCATTTAATGCGCGCAGTACGGCTTGCTCTTGCAATGATTAAACAGATATCACTTATTCTCTCCCATCTGTTCGGCAGCGGTACGACCCCGGGGCGTCCGGTTCCCTTTCTTTTCCTACTGCTATCCGTTCGGTCTATACCACCAACAAAGCCCTTTCTTTTCCTACTGCTATCCGTTCGGTCTATACCACCAACATGTGGATTACAGGTACCTGAATAGCCTAACCATTAAACATGACTATCCTATACCTGTCATTGATGAATTAATGGATGAGTTACATGGGGCAACCTACTTCTCAAAAATAGATCTGAGGTCAGGATACTTTCAAATCCTAATGAATCCTGAGCACAGACACCTCACAGCTTTCAACACTCATAGTGGTCAGTATGAGTTTCTTGTAATGCCCTTTGGGCTTTGCAATGCCCCTGCCACTTTCCAATCCCTAATGAATCAAGTGTTTAGGGCAAAATTAAGGAAAAGTGTACTAGTCTTCTTTGATGACATTTGATTTACAACAAAAATTGGGAAATGCATTTACAACATTTGAAGGAGGTCCTAAGTCTGATGAGGGATAACAATTTTTTTTGCAAAAAGTAGTAAGTGCAACTTTGGGCAACAAGATATAGAGTATCTGGGACACATCATAACCCCTAAGGGGGTAACCACAGATCCATAGAAGATTGTTAGCATGCTTGAATGGCCTGTTCCATCCACAATCAAGCAGCTAAGGGGTTTTTGACTCACTGGTTATTACAGAAAATTTGTGAATGGATATGGCATTATCAGCAGACCCTTAACTAATCTTCTAAGAAAGGACATGTTTCACTGAAACCCTGAAGCTGGGAAAGCCTTTCAACACCTTAAGCAGGACATGCTTACAGCAACAGTGTTGGGTTTACAAGATTTCACTCAACCTTTTTTTTCTTGAAACTGATGCAAGTGGAACAGGTGTAAGGGTTGTACTAATAAACCTCTGGCTTACTTAAGCAAAACACTCTGCCCTAGAAATCAAGGCTTATCTATCTATGAAACGAAATTTCTAGTATTTTTGATGGCTATACAGAAGTGGAGACACTACTTGCTAGGCCGCCACAAGTTTATAATCAAGACAGATCAACAGGCTCTGAAACATCTGCTTGATCAAAAGATAATGACCCCTATGCAGCAAAAGTGGCTTACTAAGCTTTTAGACATAAATTATGAGGTTCATTATAAAAGGGGGACAGAGAACAGGGCTGCAGATGCATTGTCAAGAATGGACAGGGGGAATAATAGTGTAAATGCACTCACTGTGGCTACTCCAAAATGGACTAAGCAAGTGATGCAAATCTATGACAATGAATCCTATTTCAGCAAGATAGTTGCAACTAAGTCACTTGATTCAGATGCCTACCCAATGTTTCAAGTAATTGAAGGTTTAATGAGGTATAAAGGAAGAGTGTGTGTGGGGAGTGATCAAACTCTCGAAGGATTTAATCATGACTGTTATGCACAATTCAACCTATGGAGGACACTCTGGGATTCAGGGCACTTATATGAGACTTAAAGGGAATATTTTCTAGCCTAACATGAAGAAAGAGGTGGAAGATTGGGTCAAGAAATGTGATACTTGCAGCATGAATAAAACAGACCATGGTGCCTACCAAGGACTTTTGCAACCCCTACCCATACCTGAACAGGCTTGGTCCTACATCACTATGGATTTCATTAAGGGACTGCCTAAATCTAGAGGGAAGAATGTGATATTGGTCATTGTGGACAGACTCACAAAATATGCTCATTTTGTCAGTCTGGCTCATCCTTTTACTGCCCAATCAGTAGCCCAAATATTTTTGGAAATAGTGCATAAATTGCATGGGTACCCAGTTAGCATTGTTTCTGATAGTGATAAGGTTTTTACCGGTAATTTCTGGAAGGAACTGTTCAAACTAATTGGAGTGCAACTCAGTATGTCCACAACCTACCATCCACAAATAGATGGTCAAAGAGATAGGGTCAAACAGTGCCTAGGGACCTACTTGAGATGCATGGTACATCAGAATCCTAAGGAATGGGCTAAGTGGCTAACTTTGGCTGAGTTTTGGTACAACACTAATTACCATACCAGCTTAAAGACTACACCTTTTGACGCATTATATGGCTACCCACCCCCAATCCTATCCCTTGGAACTTACTTACCTGCCATGGAAAGTGAAGCTAAGGACGTGGTGCAACAAAGACAGACAACCATGCAACATTTAAAGAAAACCTAATAGCAGCACAAAACAGAATGAAGGTTTATGATGATAAGCACAAGCAGGATAGAGAATTTGAAATTGGGGATTAGGTTTTTCTCAAACTCCAACCCTTCAAGCAGAATTCAGTGGCATTACGCAAAAATCTCAAACTTTCTTTTAGATTTTACGGGCCCTTTACTATTTTGGAAAAAGTTGAGAAAGTTGCTTACCGTTTGGACTTACCGGAGGATTCCAAGATCCATCCCAATTTTCATGTCTCCCTCTTGAAAAAGAAGTTGAGCTCGCCAACTTATGACATCAGAGTTGAAGGCACTGGTTGACAACAACACTTGGTCCTCACAGATCCACCCACCAACAGAAATATTGTGGGATGCAGATGGATTTTTAAACTTAAGAAGAATTCTGATGGTACTATTTCAAGGTATAAAGCCAGACTTGTTGCACAAGACAACTCACAAGCCGCTGGATTTGATTTCAGAGAAACTTTTAGCCCAGTTGTGAAGCATTCAACTATTAGAATCATTCTTACTATTGCAGTTCATTATGGTTGGCCTGCCAGACAATTATACATCAACAATGCTTTCCTTAATGGGGATCTTTTTGAGAAAATATATAATGCAACACTTAGGCTTTCATAACAGGACTTATCCCAAGAAAGTTTGCAAATTGAACAAAGCCATCTGTGGCTTAAAACAAGCTTCAATAGCTTGGTTCTTAAAGTGAAAGACACTCTCAAAAAAATAAATTTCAGTAGCTCAGAAACTGATAATTCCTTGTTTTTCAGAAAGGATCCACACTCAGCTATATTGATTCTGATTTATGAT